AAACCAAAAAAAAAAAAAAAAAAAAGAAGAGACAGGGAAGGCAGTAAAAAAACAAGCTGGGTGTGTTGAGATACACATGTAATCTTAGTGTTTGGGGCACTGAGGCAGAAGGATTGCCTCAAAGTGGATACAGCCTGGGTTACATAGCTTCTTAGTTTCTCTTCCTGCTGCTGTGACATAATACTCTTAACGAAAACAACTTAAGGAAGAGTACAGTTCATCTTGGCAGGGAAGCCAAGGCAGCCAGAGATCGACAGGGTCAGAGAGCAGTGAACATGTTCAGTGCCCTTTCTCTAGGTATACTGTCCAGGTTTCAAGCCAGGGAATGGTGCCACCCACAAGGGGGTGTGTCTTCCCAACCAAATTAACAGAATCAGGAGCTACCTACCTACCTCAGTTAATATAATCAAGATAATCCTGCATAGACATGCCCAGAGGCCTGTCTCTCGTGTAATTCTAGATTCTGTCAAGTTGTTAATTAACACTAACCATCATACATAGCAAGTTTCATATCAGGTTGAACTACGAAGTAAGACCTGGTCTTTACATACCACCCCACCCCACCTCCCTGCTACCAATAAAATCACAATCAAACAAACAGAGCAAGTAAACAAGCAAGCAAACAAACAAACAAAATCAATCACTGAATTTGTCTAATCTGCTTTATTCGGCTATAAAAGAACACCCAAGATGGAATGATTTGCACACCTGAAGAGATTTCCTGCTTATATAATTTTAGAAGCTAGGGTGTCTAAGGCATGGAGAACAACTGGTGAGGGCCTCCTTGCTTACAAGGTCCCCGGATAGGAAAAGGAAAAGAAAAGAGCAAGTGAGTGCAAGAAGAAAGAGCATGGAACTCATCCTTTTATCAGTACCCGCCCTGTAATCCTGGCACTAATCCATGCACAAGGGCACCCTCATGACCATCCCTTACATTCTCCTTTCTCAGCATCATCGCATATGAACTGTGGGGAACACATCCCAAACATAGCAATATCTAACGATAACAAAGTCATTCAAAAGTGACTTTTTCATGGGCTGGGGAGATGTCTCAGTTAATAAAGAGCCTGCTTGTGCAAGCATGAGGCCCCGAGTTTGGATCCCCAGTATTTGTGTACAAAAGTGGTGTAGTGGCATGCCTCTGTAATCCCAGCACCAGGGAGGCAGAGAAAGGAGAATTCCTGGGGCTTTCTGGCCAGCTGGTCTAGTTAAACTTCAAGTGAGAAACCCTGTCTGAAAAAATAAGAATGGAGGGCCAGCAAGAAAGCTCATTAGGGAAAGGCACTTGTTGCACAAACCTAGCAACCTGAATTAGATTCCTAGAAATCAAGCAAAAAGTTAGGAACGAACCTCTGACCTCCATATGCATGTTATGATGCATGAGCCCAAACACACACCATGCACACACAGATAATAATAAAAATAAGGTGGAAAGTGATTGAACAGGACATCAGTGACCTCTGACATATGAACACACACACACACACACACGACTTCTTCAGATATTTTAAAATAACTTTTCTGGACCTGGAAGATGGCTTTACAAGCATGTAAACCCAAACACACACATACACACACCAAATAATAATAATAATAATAATAATAATAATAATGATAATAACAGTAAACTTTAAAAAGGCTGGGGAAATGGTTCAGTGGTTAGGAGTGCTTGCTACTCTTACAGAGGACCTGAGTGTGGTTTCTGGAATCAATGTTGAGCTGCTCATCATCACCTATAACTCTAGCTCCTCTAGCCTCTGCAGACACCTGCACTCATGTACACACACACACACACACATTGATACACGCAATTAAAAACATTTCTCAATTATGTATTAATGGAAGGAATTGATTGATAACTACACACCAAGGCATGTTAAAGCAGTGCTAGATGTTGGCTTGCTGGTTGAGCATGTGTCTAATATGTCTAAGCCTGAATTCAATCCTCACAAAAAGAAAAAAAATCTAAGAAATCTTAAAGGAATGTCTACAACCAGGAGACAATAATGAAAAATCTATATCTATACAAACACTGACATTGTCAATATTATAGTAAATATTAACATTTTTCCATTATTGAAAAATTTAAACTAGCTTATGGTGGGAAGCAAAAATAGTAACAATGTATGTATTTATACCACAAGCAAGTGAAGTTATGGCAATTAGGCAAAGATCAGAAATGATAAAATGTACACGTACTATTTTAAGAAGGTTGTTACACTAGATGTGGGATGCTATAATATTGAGGGTAGCCGGTATACTATAAATGTTTTACTATAAAACTTCAGGACAAAGAATTATTGATGATTATCTAACAAATGGAATCAAGTAAAAACTACTAAATAGAATCACTAATGGTAATTACAGGAACAAGGCCAAGATGTCTCTCTCCTTTTCAGCATTGTACTGGAAGTCTTAGCTAGTGTAGGAAGACAAGAAAGGGGAATAAAAATAAAGATTGAAAAAGAAATAAAGTTGTCTTTCCAGATTACATGACTGTTTATATATATAGAACCCCTGCCAAACCAAACCAAACAAAAATCTGCAATTAATAAATGATTATAGCAAAGATGTAGGATACAAGGTCAATATCACAAAAGTAAATTGCTTCTGTATGCTAATGTTGAGTAATGGGATTTTGAAAATAGAAACACATTATCATTTATATTAGCATGCTCAATGGTGAGTATTTATATATTAACAACATGTGCACAAGATCTGTGTGAGCCTGAGGGGTTGTGGTACAGGCCATTGATCCTAGTGTTGAGAGGCAGGAGCAGGCAGATCTCTGAGTTTGAGGCCACCCTGGTCTACACAGAGAGTTTCAAGTTCCAGGTCAGGCAGGGATACATAGATGAGGTCCTGTCTCAAAAAGCAAACAAACAACAACAATAAAAATAATCTATATGAAAACTACAATACACAAATGAAAGGAATTTAAAAAAAAAGAAAAAGAGGCTGGGGATGAGGTTCCGTTGTGAACACTTCCCTAAGAAGTGAAAGCCCTGGGTTCCTTCCCCAGAATTTGAAAGGGGAAACCAAACCAAACAGACCAAACCAAACAAACAAAAACAAAAGCCTAGAATTAAAGATCTGGAAAAATATTCTATGTTCCTGAAAAGAAAGAACTCAACACTATCAAGATTTTCATTCATCATAATTTGATCTAAATATTAAACCCAATCTCAAATGAAAACCTATCAATTATTTTGTAGATGAGAACAAACTGATCATAAGTTTACATGGAGAGATGAATGGCATCTCTCCATTATAGTTATAATGTTATAGTGGCCAACACAATAGGAAAAGAATAAAGTCACAGGACTGTCATGTTCAGCTTCAAGACTTACTACTGCATTAATGCACACCTTTAATTCCAGCACGTGGGAGGCAGAGACAGGTATACACATATATAATCTATGATTTCAAGGCCAGCCTGCTCTACATAGTAAGTCCCAAGCCAGAACTACAAAGTGAGATCCCCCACCTCTCCCTCTCCCTCCCTCCCTTCCTCCCTAGCTCCTCCCTCTCTCTCTCTCTCTCTCTCTCTCTCTCTCTCTCTCTCTCTCTCTCTCTCTCATACACATTACACATATGAAAAAGAATGTGAAATGTTGGTAAAATACTGCATTTACATCACTAAAGTAAACAGTCCTGAAGTTAACCCACATAAATATAGTCAGTGGCTTTTTGACAAAGGAACAAAAACAGTACAGTAAAGATTGTCTTTTCAGGGCTGCGGAGGATGTGGCTCAGATGGTAGTGTTTGCCGAGCATACAACCTGGAATTCAATCCTCAACATAAAGTGAGTGTAGTGGCACACCTGCATCCCAGCACTTGGGAAGTGAAGGAAGAGGAGGTTCAGAAACTCAATGTAATCCTCAGCTACATAGCAAGTTTGAGGCCAGCCTGTGCTGCATTGAGACCCTATATTTTCTAAGTGTATTTCAATAAATGATAATAAAAAACTGGACATCCCCATGCAAAATGAAAACAAATATAGAAATTACTTTCTTCCTAAAAGTCAGCTCAAGGTAATTATAGGTGAAAATGCAAAATGCAAGACTGTAAAACTCCTGACAGATAACATGAGCAAATCTAGATGACCTATGGGTTTGACCGTGACAGTTTTCATTACCTACAACACCAAAGACACGACCCATGAAGAGATCATTGATAAACAAGGCTTAACTAAAATGAAAGCCTCTGCTATGCAAATTGCAATGAAAAAAAAAAAAGAATCTTAGACTAGGGAAAAGCCTTGCAAAGATGTATGTCATATTCACTGTTCTATGGCTGTGAAGAGACACCATGTCCAAGGCAACTCTTATAAAAGAAAGCATTTAATTGAGGGCTTGCTTACAGTTTCAGAGGGTTAGTCCATTGTCATCATGGCAGGAAGTATGGCAACAGGCAGGCAGACATGGTGCTGGAGAAGTAATTGAGAGTTACATCCTGGTCTGGAGAAAGAGAGAGGGAGGGAAAGAGAGATTGATTGATTGATTGATTGATTGATTGATTGATTGATTGATTGATCCTGGGCTTGGCATGGGTTTTTGAAACCTACACCTCCTAATCCTTACAAAATAATGTCACTCTCTGGCCACTAAACATTCAAATATATGAGCCTATGAGAGCCATTCTTATTCAAACCACCACAACATATCTGAAACTACTATTTAGAACATACAAAGAGCTCTTAAAATTAATTAAGAAGAGAATTAACAACCCAATAGAAAGTGGACTAGAGCCCTGAACAGGTACCTCACAAAGAAGATACAAATGATGGTGAATCAGCAGGTGAGAAAGTGAAGTACCTCATGTCATCAGAGGGTTGCAGACTAACGCAAGACAGCATCGACCAGCTGGTGGGATGATCAGGACCCAGACACTGACCCAAACACTGACCAAAAGCCTTTGAGAACACAGGGCACCGGGAACCACCACCATTCCTTCCTGGTTACAAAACTACATGTGTTCCCACCAACCTCCGCTTTCTGTACTGTCTCCAGAGAAATCCACTTAATTACATTAATTAATCTATGTATCTCAAGATTATAAACTGTTCTTTGGAGTTTACTCAAATGTGTTTGAAAACTTGGATCCACAAATGAACCTGTGCCTGGAGGCAAAGCTTGGGAGTAACCAAAATGATCTTCAGTAGGTGACTAGATGAATGTCCCACAAGGACCAGCTGCCAGTAGGACTAAAAAGAAATCAGCTACAAAGCAATGAAATACATGAAGATAACTTAAATGCACATGACTCAGTGAAAAGCCAATCTGGAAGGCCACAGACTATCTGACTTCAGTTACATGACATTCTAGAGATACCAAGATGGTGGAAATAGTAAAATGATCAATGGTTTCCAGGAATTTGGGGGCATATGGGAGTTTAATATGTGGGACACAGAGAATTTTTTTAAGGCTGTAAAATTATTCTGTATGCTAACATAAATGGTGGATGCATGTAATTATGCTTCTGTCCAAACCCTTATGTAAAACACCTGGAATGCACCCTAATACAATGCTTACGAATTTTGGGTGATGGTACTGTCCCAGCAACATTCCATTGTTGAGATGTCCTAGTCTGGCAAGGAAGCTGATAATGAGACTCCATGTGGAGGGCTCAGGAAGTTCCTGTGCATTCTCTGTACAATCCATTCAGTTTTGCTATGAAGTTGAAACTGCCCCAAGGAATGAAGAATTTAAAAGAAATTGCAGCAATCAGAATGCTCTGGTATTGGTGTGAAGACAGCCAAATAGAATAGCACATAGAACACACGTAGAAATGGACCCACACATTCAGCTAACTGATTTTCAAGAATAGTACCAAAGCAACTGAATGGGCAGAGGACGATCTTTTCAACCAACAGTGCTGAGTACACTGTTTAAAATAAAAGGAATGAATTTTAGACTGACACCCACTAACAATCATACAGTCCAAACAGTAACACCATTACTATGTACAGTGGAGCCTGACGTACCCACTTTCCTCCACTTAACTGAAAATACACCATGGTCATGAGCCACTGGGTTGACTTCACAATCATTAATGGGTAGACTAGCAGGTACAATGGTGACCCTGTAAGATTAAAATGGAGTTGATCTAAGAATGCAGCTCAGTGGCAGAGATGTGTTCAGCATGCTCAAGGCCTTGAGTCAATATCCATCCAGCAACTAAGAGAAAATTATAATGGAGCTGAAAGAATTCCTACAGACTAGTGATGTCTTGGCTAAGGTCATCAACTCATGTGTTTTCAGCCAGCTGTATAAAAGTATAGCACACACAATCACATCCAATATGTGATAGTTGATAATGATGACATGTGGCTCTTTTTCTTTATAGTGTCTTTGGGAAGAAAACGGATTTCATTGTGGGCATTTCTTTTTGCTTCTACGGTTGTTGCTTACTTAACAGTTGATGTTTAGAAAATCCTTGCCAAAGCCAAGGCCACTAAGATTTCTCTTGCAACTGTCTGACCTGTTTATGGTCTCATCACTTGATTTCATAATCAAAACTCTTCATGGTGAGGAGTCAGGGAGACTCTTTGGGAACACTGAGGTGGTGGCTCCCTGACTGATGACCGCACAGTTGCTAAAGGCGGCCGAGGCCTTCAGACTTTAGGCGCCTGCTCTTGGCTGCTGTTTCTTCCCTACAGGAAAGCGAGCTGGTTCCAGCAATAATCCCATCTCTGAAATAATGTAGTGGTCTCCTGGAGAGTCTACTTGCATTTGTTGCTAGTTTTGCCCTCACTATTTGAAGGTGGAATGGGAGGAGGTCTGGCTCGCTAACGTACCGTACATGACTACAACCTGTGTGTAGCAGGGCCCGCTGAAGAAAAGTCACAAAGCCACCGGGGGAAGCAGAGGAAAACCAAAAAAAGCAACAAGGAATGGAGGCTTGGGGTAGCCTCACTCTGCCATGGCTTGGTGCTCCCGTAACTCGATAATTATGCGCCCAGTGGTCTCTTCAATTACACATCTCTCTGTGTTACCAGCAGTGGTGTAATTTGCACATTAGGTCTGATTAGCTTGGGCATGGCGGCGGCGGCACACGCCTGGCGTCCCAGCATCTGGCACGCCAAGGCACAAGGACTGGCTAAGGTGGGACCTCACCTAGAGTCTTTCTCCGCCACAAGTCCATTTCATGTCAGGTTTCCATAAACAGCCTGACGCCTAAAGGAGATGAAGCTGGGGCGGAAGTCAGAGTGATGGCTCCAGCTTTGTTTGTTTGTTTTTCCAACGGCGGCTGAAGATGTGAAAGTTAATAGTGGTCATTGTTTCCCAAGACCTTCGTAGTGATCCTAGAAAAAAAAAACCAGCAGGATCAATGGATGCTCAGGCCAGATCTTGTGGCACACCCAAGGGACGTAAGGTCGTGAATGACAGTTTAAATTCCTAGGCCTGGCAGGATGGCCTCACTCACAGTTCGTAGCTGATTTCCCTCTCAATAGCTTATATTTAGAACATGCTCTGATAAGCAGTGGCCAGAACTTGTGAATTTGAACAGTGTTGGGGGAGGGGGATCACGGTGTGTTGATAATACTATTTTTTTTTTTTTTTTTTTTGGCAGATACATTCCAGTATCATGTTTGAGTTTTCTTTATTTAGGAACTGAAAGCGTGGTTCCAGAGTAAACATTTAGGCCTTGGTTCAGATTCAGCTCTGCCAGCCTTTGTGATCTTGGGAAAACAGCTTAACCTCTATGAGGTTCAGACTTTGTGTTCGGAACAGCACTTCCCAAACCGCAGTGATTTTGCACCCCACCCTGAAATATTTGGCAATATCTGAAGACATGTTGATGGGGAACAGGGACTGCTATTGGTATTTTTGGGTAGAAGCCATTGGTGATGGTGACATTCAGCAACCTGGTAGTGCACAGAAGACATCTACCCTCACAAAAAAAGAATTACTTAGCCCAAACTGGCAGTGGAGAGGAAAGCAAGAAACCTCTGGCTTAGAGTCTGACACATGACCGGCAGGGGCCAAATCAACCATAGCTGTCATCAGCAAATGATCAGTTTAGTGTGGTTTGGTTAAAAAACAAAAAACAAAACAAAAGAAAACAACAACAACAACAACAACAACAAAAACAGCTTCGAGAAAAGTAAGGGCCAGCCATCCACTTCTGGGCAGCGTTCAGAAAATTCGCTTCTCAATGGTACCTATGGCCCATCCAACTATAGCACAGGCCCAGCCAAGAGGTTTGAAGTGGAGGCTCTGGGGCTTGACTCTACCATTGTCTATATACATCTCTGGGGAACGCTGTTTAGCTCAGCCCACTTGTCTATAAAATGACCGTCATACCTGCGTCGCAGGAAATACATTGAGGCATGCGAAGGGCCAGTCTGCATAGCACGGCAAGCGTTCAGCTGATGCTTGCTATTCTTGCAGGGGAGTAGTTATGGAGAATAGTAGGAGGAGCGTGTCTTAAGGTTCCTTATTTATCTGTAGTTGAGTATGTGCAGGCACGCTTGTGCCGGAGCACACGTGTGGAGGTCACGGGACAGCCTGCCGGAGTCAGTTCTCTCCTTCCACTCTGTGGATTCTGGGGATAAAACTCCGGTTGTAGGCTTGACCGTGGGTGCCTGCCGGTACCTGCTGAGCCATCTTGTCAGCTCAGAAGAACACTGACTTTGATAAGAAACTCTAAAGTATTTAATGTGATGCATGAAGAGGACACAAATCAAACAGAGAATCCACACAGCAGTAGACAGTGTCAGATGACCTGGGGGCAGGGAGCCGGGTGTTCATAAAGACTGTCATCTCCATGACTTTGCTCACACCCCTTTGAAGTGGCTTTTATTAGTCATCTCTTGGAGCCTCCTTTGACAGTTATGGAAATGGGCTCACAACAGTTAGTCACTCCCTCAGCTCCCACAGCTGCAGAAGGGCTGAGCAGGGCTTTTGAATCCCCAGTGTGACTCCAGCCTGTGTTTTCATGGGCTGAAATTCAGCAATGCTCAACTCGGGGCAAATTCCCAGAATATAAAACATTAACAAGTTAGGAGGTTTCTATGTTTAGGGGAAAAGAAGACAGCGTGAAAGCCCAGCCTCTGTATCCCGGCTGGACGGAGCAGGCAGACTGGGGATGATGTGGCCATGAGAGCAGGAGGTCGCTGGCAGGAGTCCTTTCTGCTTTACTCCGGTGGCAGCTGCTGAGGCCATGCATGTCACCCCACAATGTCAGGAAGCATACAGCTAGCTACCCATAGAGAGCATTTCATAGTGATGCCCGAGGCCTGCTGGCCAAAGACAAGGAATACGGGCTCTTAGGTTACTCAGTGTTATTTCCCACCGCAAAGGGAGAGCTTCTCTAAGGTTCTGGTGACAATTTCCAGCAAGTGTTTTGTGGGCTGAGATAGGGCCACAATAACCTGAATAACCTGGACCGTAGAACTGGACAGCTATGGTGGCCTTCTTCTAAACAGCTCTATTTAGTGGCGTGGGAATGGCGCCAGGGATGGCCTGGAGTCCTGAGGGCCTAGCTGTGAAGAGACCACACCGGGAGCCCTTGGAATTGTGCAGCAGAGGACGACATCTGTCTGCATCTCTGCTGTCCTGCAGGGCCCCTTGGCCTCTCCTGGTGTGGGACAAATGTGGTGGTTACCACTTTCCTCATTGGTTCAATGAAATCCCTGCCAGGAGAACTTAGAGGGGGAAATAACAGTCTGGCTCCTGGGTTCAGAAGGGTTTCAGGACACTGTGGCAGCGGGAAGCTGTGCCAGCAGCAAGGCTCTTCACATGAAGCAGTGGCCACGTGGCATCTGGAGCAGGTGGGACCTTCAAAGGCCCAGCCACACTGACACTAGATGCTTCCCCTAGCCCTGTAGCTTCGAGATGATCATCCCAAGCTGGGAATGCAGGGAGTAGACCACCAGCTTGTGGAGGGATAGCTCACATGCAAACCATAGCCGAAGCTCTCACACACCTGTCCCCAGTAGGACAGCATCTGGGTCGATCTCCTAGCAGCTCGCCCACCCTCCCTGCAAGCTCTGGTTCTGGCATGCGTCACAAAATAATGGAACTGGAAACCACCTCAGGATGCTTGGGCCCCACATATCCAGCAGAGAAGCTTGGCAGCAACAGAACAGACTATGACTTCTGTGTCGATGTGGGCCATGTGTTCTGTGAAAGGCTGTACTCTACCCTGGCGGAAAAAATGAATTGCAAGTTCACTAACCTGGTTTTAAATATAGGAGAGGAAGCAGATGCTGGCTGGGCGGAAGTCTCTGAGGACAGCAGAGGTTCAGGCAGTGGCTTGCCCAGGCTGATAAGAAGGTGGGGGCTGGAAGCCCCACCTCTGCTGATTTGCCACGGGGTGGGAGGAGTGGGGGGAGTGAGGGGGGGCTTTCTGACCTTACCGTGGGCTGTATCGGAGCTTGGCTTCTCTGTAAGCTCCTCCTCATGACTGACATGAGAGGGTTATTTTTAAGCTGATCTTTGTGCGACTTCCTTTTGGCTTGTGTCCTCTGCTTCCTTGGTAGACCAATTCTGGCCCAGCCTGCCAGGCTGTGGGAGGTGAGGTGAGGGCTGTCTCTGGACCGGCAATGGCAGGGGCTGAGGAGGGAGGCCAGTGGCGCTCACTCCAGCAGGCTGGACACAAACGCCACCGGGCCCATGGCAGGGCAGTGTGGAGAAGACCCAGCTTCTCAGGCCGAGGTCTCAGTCTCAGAGTCGGGAGGTAGCCAGAGCAGTCACTCAGGAATCCTGTCACCCAGTCTGCAGTGTGCAGATAAATGGAAGAAGGCCTCAGTGTCGTCAACTGGTCTGTTTTCCGGGGAGCTCCCCTTTCTGGGACCGGGCTGGGCTGCTCTCTGTGGCCTGCGAGGGCACCTGTCTCTCTGGTGCCACTGAGTGCCAGGGCAGTATGTCTGGCTAGGCGCACCACCGGCACCCTCAAACTGTGTGGCTGATGAGTCATGGCTGCAGTCCCGTTCTCCCCACCGTCCACAACAGTGCAAAGGCGATGAGCTGAGGTCACCCTGGCTCCTGGGAGGGGGATGGCCCCAGCCATCAACCACTACTCGGAGACCTCAGCGTTTCTGCTGACGCCTTTGACTTGCTCAAGTCCTCAATACACAGCGGAGACCCTGAAGTGGAGCTCCTACCCAACGGATGCCTGCAATACTGCATGTCTGTGGCCTCTGGTGTAAGGGCTGGCTACCTCCTGGCAGGGCCCTCTCCTCAGCGTTTTCTTAAGATGGATATAGGATCACAGAGGCCCGCCTTCTTCTGATTTCAAACATCTCTCTCTCTCTCTCTCTCTCTCTCTCTCTCTCTCTCTCTCTCTCTCTCTCATCATACATGCCGGCTGTGGCCTGGCAGGGAAGTTTAGAAATTAGTACTTCCTTGCCAAGGCCCAAGGGAACGCAGCTCAGTTCTCAGCAGGTGGCAGTCCTGGTTTGAGCCACCCCTGTGACATCAAGCAGCACAAGCTGGTCTGTGTCCCTCCACAGTAACTTCCCGGGTGACGCTTGGAAAATTCTTTCCAGGTCAGAGTCTGTGTCGAGCAATAGGTTCAGTTTTTGAGATTCCCTCCACAGTCCAGAGCTGGCTCTAAGCTATCTTTCTGTTGAATCCAGGCTTCCAACGCTCAGCCTCAGTTACTTGTAGAACTGAAGGAAATCCAGCTCTCAAAGTTGCAGTTGGATTAAATGATCTGCTTCAGGCAGACAGGCACGGTGGCCAGAGATGTGAGTGCCTCAGGTTGGCCGACTCCAGCAGCTGCTAGCCAAGCCACCATGGGCAAGCTACTTACCTTGGGGCGATGTCAATTTCCTTGCCTGTGAAAGCAAATGTTGTGGAAGTGAATGACAGGCTCCATGTACCAAGAATCAAGGAAGAGCTGGCAACAGAGATTTTAAAAATGGGATGGTAAGCATGCTCTGCGTCAGGCCCAGATAACCGGGAATTACTGCATTACTGCATAGGACTATCCCGAGACTCCTGGCTTTAAGGGAGGCATGACCTCCATACAACAACTTTAAGGAAGGCCATATCATATGGTATAGTGTGTGTGTGTGTGTGTGTGTGTGCGTGTGCGCGTGCGCATACATGTGCACATGTGCTCGTGAGCTGGTGTGTGCCCACTTGTGGGCTGACATATGGAGGAACATATGTCGCTCCTACCTACCTGTATCCTCACAGACTCACTGTGGGTGGGGCCGTTGTTGTGTACCAGTTCAGACTGCTTGTCTCTCCCTGCACCTGCTTCCTCTTTGGGTCTTTGCTGTCATCTGTGAAATGAGAGCCACTTCAGCCACATCTAACATCTAAATGGTATGTAGGAGAGGGACTTCAGAGCTCCTTTGATTTGGTCAAGAGACGGCAAGGAGTTCATCTTCTGGAAATGAAAGGAGAGGAGGGTTGTGAGGTGACCCTTTAAAAAATGGTTTTTATTAATTTTTTGAGAAACACACACACACAATGTATTTTGATCATATTCACTCCCTGCGTCTCTCTGAACTCCTAAGTCTACTCCCACCCCCTGCTAACTTCATATCCTTTAAAAATTATTTTTATAACCCTTGAGTCTAGTTTGTGCCTGCCGCGTATTCACGGGTGTGGGTCCACCCACTGGTGTGCCGTTGACCTTCCTGGGGTCATGCCCTTAAAGAAAAGGGACTTTCCTCCTCCCAGAAGGACCCACACCAGGCTCCCCGCCTGACTGCGGGGTTCTGGAGCAGCCTCCGCCTCTGCGGACCTTCAGCAGCTCCTTGTGACCCTGCCCAGCCAGCAGCTGCCCTTGCCTCCCTGCAGATGTTTCCAGTTTGCCGACTGCAGTAGGTTCGCGGCGGTCATTTGTTCCATGGGCTCAGAAACAACAGCCTGCATTATTGTCAGGAAATGGGAGAGTGCCAACTTCAGGATGACACAAAAAGGCCCAGTCATGAGTACTAGCTAGGGGGAGGGTTGGCAAGGACCGGAGACCGGACAGTCTGCAGTGACCCCTGTGAAGTCACGGCCACTAAGGCAGCACCGATCTAGCTTCCCTCTGGGAGGGTCCGGAGCGGGTCAGTTGAGTCATCTCGGAGGGACCAGGTCAGAAAGAGCCATTCTCCTGGAGGCCGGGGAGTGACTGGAGAGTCTGGCTCTGAGGAGAAAGCATTCTGTTTCCTTGCCGCTTCACAACCAGGAACTATTCCAGCGCTAGTGGGAGATTTGCGGATGCTTGGTTTGGGGGATCGAGAGCAAGCACAGATGAACGTAATGGGCGTCAAATCATAAGTTGTGGGCCGTGTACTTCATGTTTTTCAAGCAGCTACGTTGGCGGGAGGTGACCATAATATTCAGCAACCTTCACACCCTGCCCTGGAGGTGGCCTTTTTTATAGCAGTGAAGAGTGCCAAGCACTCTGCCAGGTCCTCCAGAATGAGTGACGGCGAGACACAGAAACTGTGATTATGGTTCTAAATAGGGCTGGCTCTTGAGGTAGCCCCGGGAAGGTTTCACCTGCAGCAATGGAAGGGCCCCTGCAGCCGCAGGAGCTCCATCCTGTCGGTCTAGAAACTGCCTGCCATCAGATCCCCCCAGGCTGTCCTCCAAGGCTCACAAAGGAGGGTGGGGCCACGGTTGAACTCTGGCGCAAAGCTTCTTCATGCTGACAAGCTACTCACTTCCTGCCAAGTGGGAAAGATAGGAGAAGACGTCACCGCCTTCCTGCCATGGCCTTCGGGTGAGCCCAGTTTCTGAACTAGGAGAACCAATGGAGGATTTGGAGCAAAGAGCTTCTCCAGCAAAAGACAAGAAATGGGTGCCAAGGAAAGCCAAATCTAGACAAGGCAACCCGGTAGGTACATAAAGACTTCGTTGGTTCAGCATCCACCATGAGCAGTCTCTGGGGGCCCACATGGAAGAAGATGGAGGCAGGATTCTGGCAACTACCTGAACGGTCAAGTCCCTGCTCTAGCTGTTTGGCCCTTTTTACTTCAGTCTCCAGAGAATAATCTTCCCCTCCTTCACCAAAGAGCAAATTAAGACACGGGTTACTGGGCAATGAGGCCAAGATTATCCACTTAGAAAAGGAGCTCACAAAACACGACATGGCACGTTCAACTCCTGAGTTACATGCTGGCAGCCCATGGTGATTACTTTCTCTGGGGCTGGGCCGCCGGGTATGAGCACAGTGTGGCTGGCCTGACACCTGGAGGCGGAAGTGCAGGGTGCACATTGCGTGGGACAGACATGTCTGTAGGCGTCTCACCGAGGCCCAGGGCTCTTGGCACAGCTTTGAGCTCTGACGGTCTGGAAGTCGCTGCCAGTATGAGGTGATGTGACTGGCTGGCACGTAACCCTGGACGGACAGGGCAGTCAGACCAGCCACGAAACACGTGCACTGAATCAGAAGAAAGCACCAGCTGCGCGCTTGGTTGGAGGCCCCGGGGCGTTCAGCTGGGGGTTCAGGGCGGCGAGCACCCGAGTGGGAAAGGAGCTGAAATTGCTAGCTAGCCACGAAACCAGACTGCGTCCCAGTTTTGAATGAGCCTCTCGCGTCTGATTCACTGTGAGCATGGATTTGGGACAGGAAAAAGGATGAGTGCAGCGACAGGCCAGGTTGAGCGGCAAACCGCCAGAAGCAGTTCGGGGACCCTGCAGAAAAAGCCCGAAGACAAGAGAACAGCGCCAAGACAGCGAATAAAGGAGCTCTGATCGCGGGGCGCGGAGCACGAAAAACGGGGTGCCCATGGCATCGTAGTAGACAAATCACAGCGATGAGAGAAGGAACCTGCGAGGGTAGGCAAGTATGTAGAAGCCACAACCAGTTTCATTGGACATTCTTTCTAAGGACCTCTTAACCAGACCTAAGTGAGTCACATGATATTCTCTACCTGCATTGGTTTAGGATTGAAGTAAAAAGACGCAACAAACAAACATGGGCCCTTCTTTGTTCCTCCCAGTTTCTGTTGAACACAGTGGCATGGTGAGCATGCTCATGGGCAGCGAGAGGACAGACCTGAGACTAATGTATTATACAAATTCAGCTTGAACATAAGGCAGGTCTCCCACGTGCTATTTTAGGCTCTTGGTGCTTTTAGGATAATGTGATGGGGGCTGGGAGGCTTCCAAAGTTGAACGAGAAGTTGACCAGCTAGTAGGAGCAGCAGTATAAATAAAGAACTCAAAGAGGACTGTGTGAGCTGCAGTGGGATCCTGTTAGAGGAAGGAGCCACCAACTGCCCGGCAGTGACTTCCATCCTTCCTGGGAGTGGTTTGTACTCGAAGTAATGAGTTCTTCCTGTGAGGATCATCGCATTGTGCTGTACGTGGTACCATCCTGGACACTGCTGGGCATCAGTACCCTGTACTGAGTCCTCTCCTTAACACTCACTTAAAATGACGAAGCTATGTGGTAATTGTTTTGTTTCTGTTTCTTGTTTCTTGAGACAGGGACTCACTCTGTAACCTGGGCTGGCCCAAACTTGCTACACAGTCCAAGTTGGCTTTGATGTCACCCAGATCAGCCTGCCTCTGCCTCCCAAGTTCTCAGACTGCAAGTGCGTATGCTGCATCTGGCTGCATCTGGCTGGATATTTTATTCTTTTAATTGCACAAATCCCTATAGTGCCCTGGCAGCAAACACTGATGCTTCTTCCAGGTTCTCGTGATTTGTGACTTGCATCCTTCCAAACAAGCACGTGGCACTTTAAAGAGAGCAGGGCATGACAGAACTCAGCACCAGGAGCCAGGGCTGGAGAGTTGGCTCAGCGTGGCTAAGAACACTTGCTATCCTTTCAGAGGTCCTGAGTTCAGTTCCCAACACCCACCCCAGGTGGCTCACAACCACTTGTAACTCCAGCTGCAAGGGGTACAATGATGACTTCTGGCCTCTATGGTACCATCACGTAAGTGTGCATGCACACATACACATAAATTAAAACTAAAAGTTAGTAATTTTTAAAAGACACTAGGAGCCTGAAATTGAGATGATGCATATAGATTTTTCTAGAAAGTTTTAAGTGCAAAGTGATTGCTGAAACAAGCCTGGCTTGTGACCCATGCGAAGCTCTTTCCAAACCTGATGAACAGAGCAGAGGAAGTAATAAGAAAAGCAACCTCCTCCCTAGCAGCAAACGCCTTAGGGAAATCGGTCTCTGAAACCGTCTATGTAGACAATAACAATATAGTATCTCTACTAGTAATAAAGTGCGGAGGCATATTCCCTGTAATAGCTCTAATGAAATGCAGAGGGGAATCGAGTTATCTAGGAGGACACTTCAGGAAGTAAAGTAATGTGGTTTCCTGATGTTGTCTGACCACGGACTAGATGCAGGGGTGTGGAGTGGAGAGGGATGAGGGAGGGTTCGTTGGCTGTCCACCACCACCCAGCAACCTCAGTGGAGGAGCCAGAAACCAGAAAACTGGCAAAATATCCTGTTCCCAGGAGCTGGCCCAACCCTTGGATCTACCCACACCCGTTCAGACTCCGAGGAGTTTCTGTCCATTGGCAGTTTAGGTTTGATGATATAATTGATGCTGGTCTGTTCTTGCAAAATTCACCAGAAAGGACTTGGGTTTGAAACTCAGATAGTTTGGGCTCTGGGAATTAAGACTGCTCAACTTGACAGAATTTGGATTCAACTAAGAGACAAACCTCTCCGCATGTCTGTGAGAGTTTTTAGACTGGGAGGACCCGCTCTAGCTGGGGGCGGCACAATTCTATGGGCTGGGGTCCTGGACTGAGTAAAATGCGGGGGAAAAGCGCAGAGAACGAGTGTTCACCGTTCTGTTTTCCAGGTGTGGGTGACATGTGAGCTGAGGCTTTACGTCCCGCCACCTTCTTTTCCTGTCACAGTGGACCCCACCCTTAAACCGGGAGCCCAAACATGCCTTTCTTCCTTCTGTTACTTTTGTTGAGGATTTTGTCAAAGAAATGTGAGCAGTAACGAACGCAGGTTCAGATCCCGGCTCTGCCACTTGGTAGCCGAAAGCCACCTCTCATCAAGCCTTAGTTTCCTTGCCTGGGAAATGGGTTAGCCATACTTACTACTACTAGGTTTGGCAAAGGACTGTAAGTGACACACATAAAACTCCTGTCAAGGAGTCTGGCAGGTGTTAGTTAACATCCTATCAATGGCGGGCTTCAAACAAAATTATCAAAGGGCCTCGTGGAGCAGGAGAGGGAAGCGTGTCATCAAAGTAGTTGAGGCTGCAGATTTCTTGCCGTAGCAGGGAGTCCTGCGTTCAACTCATTAAGGATATGATAGGTTAAAAAGGGGGCCAGGGCACCGCCCTCAGGCAATCTACGACTGGCAGTGAGCTGCCCCGAGGTCACTCCTACACCTGCCAGTGTTTACAGAAAGGGCACTGAGCGACATCAGGACCTACAGTTGACCTGTGTGAAATCAGAGGATGAGCCTCAGACACCGTGGGCGTCCCCGACTTGAATGGAAAATACAAGCGTGGGTGCTTGAAAGCCTGAAGCTGGGGTATGAAGAGACCTAAGGACATTTGAAGAAATCGCGGGCTTCGGAAGGATGCTCTCTAGAAATGATGAGTGACCAGAGGGTCCTGTGCCCACGGGAAGATAGGTTAGGGACCGCCGTGTGTTAAGGGAAGGACCAACAATTCACACCCCAGTGGGACCTCCTTAGGGCAGACATCTCATGGTGGCAGACCCCTCCTGAGAACTGCCCGTC